TCTTTTCTAAAAAGTGTTTATAGCAAAATGTTAAGAGCTGTTAAATCTGCAGCATGGGTGTTTTTCACACCATTTTCTCTATTTTCTGTGTGTTTGAAAAATTCAGAATTAATCTTTTAAAATTAAAAATATTTTTTAATGGGAGCTTCAGAGATTTTTTAAAAACTGTGCCAGCTTCCGTGGGAGATACAGTGAGAACCCAGAGAGGCCCCCAGATCCTTTGATTACTACTTTAAAAAGATGTCTACTTGATTATGTAGTACATCCTGGCAGTCTGTTTCATGGGAAAGCAGCTCTGTGGGCTAAATAATAGATGCACCTCAAGATAAAAAAGAGGAGGAGTGGTCATTGGGGTCTGTAGTTCGAAATGTTTGGGAAATTTTAGGATAAGCAAAATTTAATAATTGTATTACTTTTATGTCCTAATGGGCATTATAAATCTTTAAAACTTGAATATATTGTATGTAACATTTCCCAAACTTCTTTAACTTTCAAACTCTTTGTGGAAGAGCAGTATGCAGGACTAATTTCTGAGGAAGACAACTTGGGAAATACTGTCTTCCAGTTTATGAAATGCCTTTGTAATACCTTTTGAAGATTTACATTACCCTGAGAAATGCTTTCTCTAGGCTCATGTTAGAGGGAGAGGAAATTAACATGAAGAAAGAAGTGGCTCCAAATTCACATCAGTATCAAATTCCAGAACTGATCAGCTGATTCCTTTTTGGCTTTGTGTTTTCTGAGTAGGCTGAAGGTTGGAAGGAAGCTGTTGGATCTTGATTTGTGTAATCTTGGAATATAGCAAGAAAGCCAACTAAAAGAGCTAGGAAAGGGAAAATTTACCTAGCAAATACTATTAGGAGAACGAGAAAAATAAAATTTAGTTATACTGTCTTATTATGCACTGCAATAAATTCTGGGAGAATTAAAAATTTAAACACAGGAAAACTCTTAAATTATAATAGACTTAATTCTGGTAAGAAGATATTTCCTATTTATGAAATAGAAATAGCAGTTACAAGATTAATAAATTTAGTAGAAAAAATAAAGGAGATAAATGTGCTAGATAATGCACATAATATTAAATGCTTACTTACCTAAATATATATAGATCTATAAGGATGATACCTGATTACACTGAATAGAGTGTTCAATAAGAATCAACATACATGATACTACTTGGGATGAATTTGGCACTATAAAGCTAGGCCCTTTATAATATTATCTTTGAATTTTATTTCCCCATATCAGTGAGGCTTACAAAGGTTAGGTAATTGTGCCAAGGTAATACAACCAGCATTTGACAGAGTCTAATTTAGCCCAGCTCTATCAATTTTTAAAGTTCACCCTCTCGACCCTACTATATGACTTCCTAAGACAATATACTTCCTGAGATAACCAAATAAATAACACATATGACTGACTATGTTATGGGCTGAACACTTTATGTGTATTAAGTTATTTAATCCCTACAATAAGGTTGTGAGATGTCAGTGTTATTAATGTTTTGGTTTTTCAATTGAGGAAATTGAGGCATAGAGAAGTTAAGCCTCCACATTTAACCACTATGCTATGTCGAATCTCTGAAATAAAATTTAACTATAAGATATATAAGCTTACATCTATTACTCACAAAAGTAAAATGATCAAATATAATATATCACTGAGAGGATACAGGCACAATTTTTGTTGTATTGTAAATTAGAATAATTTTGAAGGGCATTCTGCTAGCAAGCACCACCAAAATGCAATGTAACCTTTCATGGGATTCATTGCAAGGAAATAAGAGGGAAAAAAGTCCAAAGGAATTAACGTGCTATTTGTAATAATGATAAAGGATAAATAACTGAAAAACACATGATTGGAAGAGTCAAGGAAATGAGCACTAACTGAGTTCTTGCACTGTTGCTGACACTGTTCTCGGTTGTTTCAAATTTATTCCCCACAGTGACTTTATGAAGTAGGTAGAGTTGCCATTTTCACAGAAGAGCAAACTGAAGGCCGGGCAAATGTCATAGACACGGATCTTTCTTGATCCCAAATATTGGGCCCTTAACAATATCATTATGAAGACAGTACAAAGTTATATGTCATTAACAGTTATAAGTATGGAGATGTGGGAATCTATGTGGAAGTATTGTAATTAATAAAACCTCTAATATGTACACATTAATCTGTAAGTTATGATATGTAATTGTTAAAAGAGGTCATAGGAATTTTATCTGATAGAATTATTTGGTTTAGGGATAGCTTCTATATTTAATTAAAATATATATATATATATATTTTCAGTATGCGCTTTAGGGCTAGTTCTATCCTTTCCTGTGTGGCACTTGGTCCTCAACTTAGCAGACTTATTTGGTTTTTAATTATGTACTTAAACTTCAGGTCTAGAGAAATGTAGGGAATTATTGCCATTCTCGGATAACAAGAACATTTGATTGGTAGGAAGCCAGTATAATGTAGTAGTTGAGAACTTCAGCAGCGTAGCCAAACAACTAAGATTTGAATCCCTGCTTCACTACTAGCTGTGTAACATTTGGTGGAAGGTCACTTTTCTGTTTACAATACAATTTTTTTTAAGATTAAATGAGAGAATTAATGTGAAGGTTTAGCAAAAGAATCTGGCATATAGTAAGTTCTTAAGAAGCTAGCCATTATCGTTAGTAGTAGTAGTAGTATTTAATTATTATTGGTTTTACTTAGAATTGAGATCTTTTAGACTACATTAGTTATCTATTGCTGCATAATAAGCCACCAAACACTTCACGACTTAAAACAGCCATCATTTTATTTACTAGCTCACAATTCTTTGGGTTAGTAATTTTGACTTAGCTCAGTCGGATGGTTGTGCTGTCTGGGTTCTCCTGTCCTTGGTTGGTCTCTCTCCGTGGGGCCTGTTTATAAGTGGTGGAAAAGTATCTAGCTGAAGAGCAGAAGATGCAAGGGCTCTTGAGGCCCAGGCTCCTAACTCACACAGCATCATTTCTGCTGCATTCTGTTGGTTAAAGTCACAGGTTAGCCCACATTCAAAGGGTGGGCAGTAGAGTTCACCTTTTGATAAGAGTTGCTGCAAAGACTTTCTAATTTTTTAATCGACCAATAGACTAAATAATGGAAAAGCCTATCTCATAGTTATTAAGATCAACATATCGACTTTTGATAAGGAACAGAAGGATTACATTTGAATGTGAGGACATTGTTAAAAGACTCAATAATACAACTTATTTATAAAAAGAAATCAATTTTGATATAATTGATAACTAAAATTTTTTAAAATATTCTTTTCAAAGGTAAATTGGTCTTTTTAGAAAATTTTCGCTGTTAGGGAAATTAAAATGGGGACATAATTTTGATTTATCTCAAAGATAAGATTAGTCTTGAAAAAATAACCAAAAATCATTTTTACATCCTCCCAAGTTAATAAAGGACAAATTGTAGGCCTGAAAACTTAAAAAAAAAAAAATACCATATAGTATTCAACCCATTTAATCTTGTCAGATCATATATTAATAAGACATGAAGTAATTTGTGTAAAGTACAGTAGGTGGTGCTGTGGTAAAACTTCTGTTCCTGTAAGGAGTTGCATTCAGGATTCATCTATATATTCTTCTGTGTTGTTGTCTAAGAAAAAAAAATTTTTTTAAATAAGGCAAGTCTGAAGAGAATCTAGCAAATTCGCTTAGCCTAATATACATTTATTTGCAGTGATTTTTTAAAAATTACAAAATTAAGTACAGTAATGTTAGTGTTCCTTGAACTAAATTGTACCAAAAATAAAAGTGGAATGTACTATAAATTGATCCACAAGCACACATCTTAATTTCTCAAAATTCTTTCATGTGTATGTTAACTTCACAAGTTATCCTCAACTTCTCATTCTTAATAACTAGGGTTTTAAATTGTTTCCTTATTGTTCATATAAGCTGAAACAGTAAAGAAGAAATGTAACATGAGGCCAGAGGACAATAAATTTTAATATGGTGGTGCTGTCATACTTTCAATATTTCAAGGTACTTGAGCCTTCTCCTTTAAACAGAAATCTTAGTAGAAAATTAATTCACAATTACTTGAACAGCATGAACAATTTTTTATTCCTTTGAATAGTATTTTGAAAGGAGAGTTTTAGAAAACTTGAATATTGTACATTTAAAAGCATGGTGTAAAATTGTTATAACAACTTGGGTTGTTTGGTGTATTGAAGTGTAATGATGCAAGTATCTTAACATTTCATTTGCGTTGATTCTGGTTAAATTAGTGCATCCCAATCCTGGCTTTATAGGCTTCCCAATCATCTGTGCAACATCTTTAAGAAAGTTTTGGGGATTCTGATCTAGCAGGTGTCCTTACAGCACTGGCCTTGGTAAAATCGTGTTGCCATTTTAATGGGAGATGTATCATGAAAAGTAACACAGCAGAGCGTATTCAATCCTCTGAAGTTATCTTTGAATGGCCTAGTGTTTGATCTTTACTAGGAGACAAAAATCCTTGTTTAAAATCCATTTAGCAAGTTTGTATAAAGTTACATTTTGAAATCGGTAAACATTTACAAAGCAGCAAAAAAAAAATATATGTAATCTTAGAAAGCTGTTGTAAAGATAGAAATACTGATGCTGTTTAAATTTTTGGAAGCATGTAATAGTTATTGCACATGGAAAATAAACATTACTTGTGGTATTTACTATTAAGTCATTGGTTTTATTTCTTGGTATAAAAAAGAAATGGGGCTCATTTGTTATTTTCATGTTAAAATTTGAAAATTCTAAGTGAAATTTATCCTATCTTAATGTAATGCCTCTTTTCTCCCCCTTCCCATTTGAATTCTAACTAATTAATTAGAATCCAAATTTAGACTGTTATCTCTTGTCCTTTAATTTTTGTTTCTCTTTTGAATTTGTTAAAGTGATACTGCTTGTCATCTTCTGTTTCTGCTTCCCAGTTAGAGAACTGATAGAGAACTGATAGTTCTCTAACAGTTGATTTTACATATTGTTTTTCAGCTGATTACCTGGCTCAGGCATTTGATTCTCTTTGTTTGGACTTGAAGACAGACGAAGGAAAAACCTTGTTTTTGGGATATCAAGCTGTTCCAGTAGTATTGAGTCATCTAAAAATATCCAGTAAAGGACTCCTGTCCAATGTCATTGATAGTTTGCTTCAGATGACAGTGGAATCTAGTAAGTTTTAAATTTTATATACATATAGAAATGAAAATGGGATGGTTTTTCTATCCTCATTTGAGCTGAATGTATAACTCCACATATTAGACACTATTGCATTTTATAATTTAAATGCTTAAAAAATATTTTTGACAGCTGTTTGATTGAGTCATTAATAACATCACTCCTTTGTTCAGATTTTCCCTAATTTCCAGTAGTCATTTATTATGTGGGTACACTGCAAATGTTACCCACATATTTGAGCCTCTTTCTCTGTTCTCTTCTGTTCCATCGTTCTGACAGATCTAATCATATATTCCGTGGTAGCTCAGAAGGAGTGAAGTCATCAAATATATCTCCACCTAAACTGAAAATGATGACACAAACATATTCCTGTTGTTGCCTCTTCAGCCATACTGTTTTATTGCAGGAATTGGGACAGGAGGGGGGACTTCAGCTATATATGTGGCTACCCTAATTCCTATTTGTAATGTTTTGTAGTATGTGGGGGTTTTTATTTTTGTTTTTATATTGGTATAATGGGTTATTTTAACTTGCTGTTATTGGTTCCTAATTGAGCACAGATATGCACAGGGATACTGAATATCAGTGCTTTGCTTTGCTTCCATTGACATTGCTCTTTGAACCTCATGCCACCCCTTGACTTATAACAAGTAGCCATTTCATTTACGTAATTCTTTTTCATTTGTAGTCTGCCTTCTTCCCTCTTCCCTCTTCCTTCTACAGCATGCCTATAGTCACAGCTATTCAGGAGGCTGAGATGAGAGGATCGCTTGAGTCCAGGGTTTGAGAACAGCCTGGGCAACATAGTGAGACCCCATCTCAAGAAAAAACAACCCCCCCCACTAAAAAAAACTAAAATGTTTATGCCCTCCAGGGGTGGAAACTCAAAGTGGAAAGCCATTGCTCTGCATGGTAGGCAGCAACCTGTGCAGTTGGTGCTGCCTGTGGGTGACTCCCTAATGGTTGGGTGCAAAGCATGGTTATGCTTCTAACAAGGAGCATTTGGTGTATGGTTTCATATCTTCAGTTCACTTTTATATATGGTGGTGTTTTTCCTTAATATCCCTGTGAAAGAGGCCTGATAGGGAGATTGAGGCCTAGAAAAATTAGGTAACTTCTCCAGGGATTCCCACAGCTTGACCAAGGTAGAACTGAGACTGCTCTGACTCTAGACATAAGGCTCATTCTACCATAGCACTGTAATTAGGTTTTCCACGTTTTTTTTTTTCTCCTGTCCCAGAATGTCACTGGTCGCTGACATGTTTTATCAATATTTTTAGCCTTTTGTAACTGTTAAGATATTGGACTTATACTTGAGGATCTAGCTACCTAGATTAGTAATCTCGGGGTCTTATGTTTAAGTTTACTGATGTAAGGAGTAAAACAAAAAGTGAAAAATTAATGAATTTAGGTACAAAGACCCAAGATTACTTGTTTAAGTAGCTAGATTTCCAGCTTGCTTCACAGGAATTTTTTTTAATGAGGAAAAACAAAAATCTTACCAGATGTAAGTGTCTATTCATCAGAAAAAGTCTTACTGAATATATTTAAGAGACAAAATATTTCTCCTTGTAGTCAAAGGAAAACTAAATATAATTTCATGAAATAGTTGACCTACTTGGGTAAGATGACACCACAAATTCAAATTTGGGAAAATTAGATTAGATAGTTAATAGTCATTCACATTTGTTTACCTTTGTTCAAGTTACTCTCAAATCCAAGATTATGCTTTTCTTGCTCAAATCTAGTAGATGAAGCAATTTCTAATGCTGATTACTATGAAATCCATGTTGTTTTTAGTGATAGGAAACTTTTGGAAGATCAGAAATGGGCAAATACTTCGACGATGTCTGACTGATGTTTATTTATTTCCTTGATATATTTCCCATTTTTAATGTAAATCCAGTACCTGTTAGTCAGCTAACACAATTTGTTGAAGGGATAAATGAATGATAGATCAAGTTTTATATTTTGTCTTGTTTTTTTCTAGTTTTGAGATTAGAAACTCATTTCATCATATACTTAATTTTCCCATGTCATTTTTTTAAGATAATAGGAAAACGTTGTTGCAAAAGAAGTCTCACTAGAATTGATTTGCAGGTGGTTTATCTTACCTTAATAGTGGGCCCTCGTGGCTGGCCGTATGTGAGTTGCCATGTTTCAAAGCATCATGTTTGTAGGGCTCTGCAGAGCCTGGGGCTTCCTCAGGAGCATTCATGGGCTGGGAGGAGGTGTCAGTGGGCTAAATTTTGAGTGCCTGTGACAAGGAAGTCAGTACAGAAATTGAGTGTTTAGAAACTTGTGTAGTAATTTGACAGTAATTTTATGCCTGTTAAATCTGATAATTAAAAACATTTGGACTTTCATTTTATATGTTACTTTTTTAAAATATTTCATTTTGCTAGTATTTTTAATAGCATTTTGTAAAAGGGTGATGGCTTCTCTGTGTTGAATTGGAAATTTAGGAAGACTGATCCTTCACCATAGTAGCTTGAGAAGCAGTAGGCAATTCCATCTCACTGGCTGCCCTGTGTGAAGGTGTGTTGTGGGGAGTGGTGCTGCTGAGCAGTTTTTTTCTCTTCTCCACTTGTGTCCTTCCCCCAGTCATCGTTTCAGATATGAGAAACATTACCTGCACAGGTACTATTTTTTGAAAGCTACTAAAATGCATTTATGAGTATAAATTAAGATCTGTACCTTGATTTATCTTGCCATACATATATTATGAACACAATTTTACTTTTAGATTTAGAGCTTCTGATTATATCTATTTTTGGCACGAATATATATCATGTAATAACTTAGTGGTGTTGCTTTTAGAAAATTAGTTTGTGGTTTCTTTTTCTTTTTCCTGTCAGTAGTTGAAAGCTATTAATATTACTCACTTATCTGGGTTTTGCTGTGTGAGAACTTGAGTCTTTTTTTGTTGCGAAGAATACTTTCCTTTTCTTGTCAGACTTAGTTTAAATAGAGGGATTTAAGTTTTTATTATTTTAGTTTATTCTCTCTTGTGGCCTAGAAACTGCCTTGTCTAGGTAACATGTTGCTGTTTAACATTTGAAAGGCAATAATGTATTTGAGGATATTTTGCAGACATTTTTTAAAAGTAAAGTTTATTATAAAAATAATAGAAATTTGGAAAACTACAAACCAGCAAAATAAAATTTTCTGGAGTAGGGGCTGGGGAGATGTTGGTTGGTTAAGGATATAAAATTTCAGTTAGACAGGAGGAGTAAGTTCAGGAGATCTATTGTATAGGCCAAGTATGTGTTATCCGAAATGCTTGGGTCCAGAAGAGTTTCAGATTTCACATTTTTTTGAACTTTGGAATATTCGTGTTATATTTACCAGTAGAGGACACTTAATCCAAAAATCCAAAATCAGAAATGCTCCAATGAACATGACCTTTGAGCATTATATCAGTGCTCAACACGTTTCAGATTTGGATCATTTCAGATACTGGATTTTTGGATTTGGGATGCTCAACCAGTATAACATGGTGATTATAGTTGATTACAATGTATTCAAAGGAAAATTGCTAAGAGAATACATTTTAAATGTTTTCACCACAGAAAAATAAGTATTTGAGGTAATGGATATGTTATTTATCTTGATTTAGCCATTCCACAATATAGTCATACATGATATCAAAACATTATATTGTACATGATAAAATATATACAATTTTTATTTACTAATTTAAAAAAAACAAATACCCCAGAAAAAAATATCTTGACATTCAAAGATACATACTATTACTTCCTGTGGACATTTGCTTCCTCTCTTTTTTCTGTGAAAAGTTTTTGCGATATTGATTATCTTTTTCTTTCCGTTTTTGAACATAGTTATATCCTACTGTATGTACAGTTACATACTTACAATTAGGCCATGATATACAGGTTGGGCATCCCTAATTTGAAAATCCAAAATCTGAAATGCTGCAAAATCTGAAACTTTTTGAGCTCTGACGTGATGCACAAAGGTCATGCTCAAAGGAAATGCTCATGGGAACATTTTAGATTTTAGATTTTCAGATTAGGCTTGCTCAACTGGAAATTATAATGCAAAGAAAATGGCAAAATGCAAGAAAATCTTAGGAGAGGCCGGGTGTGGTGGCTCACGCCTGTAATCCTAGCACTCTGGGAGGCTGAGGCAGGAGGATTGCTTGAGCTCAGGAGCTCGAGACCAGCCTGAGCAAGAGCGAGACCCCGTCTCTACTATAAATAGAAAGAAATTAGCCAAACAACTAAAAATAGGAAAAATTAGCCGGGCCCTGTGGCGCATGCCTGTAGTCCCAGCTACCTGGGAGGCTGAGGCAGGAGGATCGCTTGAGCCCAGGAGTTTGAGGTTGCCATGAGCTAGGCTGACGCCACAGCACTCTAGCCTAGGCAAGAGAGTGAGACTCTGTCTCAAAGGAAAAAAAAAAAGCAAAAGAAAATCTTAGGAGATACTGCAAGGCAATGTACTTAGATTCTTCTGTTTAAATTCTGTGTAGGAATACGGGTAAGAAAATGTAATGAAGTTAAAGATAGCAAATAATTATCAGATACTTTGGACTCTTACTCCATGCCTTAAACTTGTTTTATAGATCTAGAACTTATTTCTGAATATATCCCTATTTCTTAGTTGGTGCTGTTATTGTTTTTCATTGGTAGTTAATTTTACTTGGTCCATATAATTTCTTTCCTTCTTTTTTTTTTTTTTTTTTTTTTGAGACAGAGTCTCACTCTGTTGCCCGGGCTAGAGTGAGTGCCGTGGCATTAGCCTAGCTCACAGCAGCCTCAAACTCCTGGGCTCAAGCGATCCTCCTGCCTCAGCCTCCCAAGTAGCTGGGACTACAGGCATGTGCCACCATGCCTGGCTAATTTTTTATATATATTTTAGTTGTCCAGATCATTTCTTTCTATTTTTAGTAGAGACGGGGTCTCGCTCTTGCTCAGGCTGGTTTCGAACTCCTGAGCTCAAACAATCCGCCCGCCTCGGCCTCCCAGAGT